TGCAGCTTGTAAGTCAAAGCAGCACCATCGAAATTAGGGTTTGGCTGGGCCACAACTTCCAGATATCTTTCCCCAGCCTCTTTCAAGGTGGAGGCAACATTGCTTGTTCCCCAAGGAGATTTCTTGGCTCTGAAGAGCCAGCCGCTCAAAAGCGTCATTCCTGGCACCGGGACACACACTTTAGTCTCAGTCAGGCGTTTGATTAAATTCAAGCAGACCGAGAAAATGATTCATCAGCACAGCGTTCGGCTGCGAAGTCGCAATGGCCGAGGGTCTCTTGATGATCGGGCTGCAGGATGTAACTCGACCCATGTGGGCATGGATCTTGTGCCTCGGAAATCACGAAAGACCAAACACTGCACGAGCACACCGATAACAAGCACAAAGGCACCACGAAGTACTTTGAAGCACTGCCTCTTTGCTGCAGAGCTACAATTCGTCCCTGATGAACCCTACTTTCGCGTTGTTGAAAGCTAGGAACTGAAATGCTGCAAAGAGGGGTCCTCCTTGGTCCGGACAAAAAATCAAGCGGAGGGCTTCATCCGGCATATGCGTGTCCCATCGGCTGATGCCTGTCTCTCTGTTCACGACATAGCCCATGACCTCATCGCCCACCGTGTGAAGTCGTCTCTCTTCGGTGTCGGGGTCGACTGCATTACACGGGGAGCTCGGCCACAGCTGGTCCAGGGAGAGGCCAATGTGGCTCAGCACATTAGCCACAGCCTTGAGCTCTTGTTTCGCCGATAATCTGTCCTCTTTCAAAGCATTCAGTGCTTTCGGCCTAAGTTTAAGTCGTGCCATCACAGAATCAGCTACCTCCCATCAATCCAAGAGCACTTTGTGCATTGTGTGCGGCGAGGAGCAACTTTTTCTTTTCCTGGGGTTGTGTCAGCTCACCAAGGACGGCTTTGGTGTGGGAGTCGGCGACCATGCCGGCCACGGCCAGTTTATCGCCTGCGGAGGCTGTGCTCGGGAGCAGGGTGCTCAATCTCTGCAGCGTGCCAACCGACAGATGGTCCGGTAGGGCAAATACAGGCAGCCACACCTCAGCTCGCAATCCTTGCAAGTAGGTTTGACTCAAGGCAAGTGCAAGCCACAACGTCACTTCAATCTGCCGACTAGACTCGTCGTGCTTCGCTTTGGGGCTGGCATCGCATATCAATGCAATGGACTTGTTCTTCAGGCCGCTGAGAACCTGGACCGGGATGCAATCACAGTTGCTTTCAAGGCCTGGCTGGGGGTTTCGATTTCGGTGGCCTGCTCCACCTTGGTTTGGGTCTTGCAGAGATAGCGGTGCACGAAGTCAGCCGTCGTCCTGAGGTAGTGTCGTGCGTAGTAGCAGCAACTTTGCTGGCAGTACCGCTCTGTGTTTCACAACAACACCCAGTCCTATTGTAATGCGTGGGGCAGAGCGACTCGAGCCCCACCTCCTTCAAGCTTGCATCTGCCTGGCTGCTGCAGAAGCCACCGCCGCGTGATAGGAAGCGGGCGATGGCCATCTCCGATTTTGGCTTGCATTCCAGCTTCAATCGTCTTCCGTCCCTGGTCGTAGCAGAACAGCCAGAACCCAGAGTCTCAGAGCCCTTGTCCCACGAAGAGAAGACTGATTGCAGGCGAGGAGCTTCGTCGCCGGGTGGAATTTGTGCTCTGCAGAGAGGGGCGGCATCACATTGGTGGCGAGCATCCGCAACGATCTTTCAGCTTCTTGGCTCAAGATGTGAATCAGCCGTCGTTGCACTCGGGCAAACGTGTTTTTGGCCTCGGTTGTGGGCTGTGCAATTCGAGACACGGAATGGGATTCCAGGCTTGTGGTTACGATTGCTGATTGCCCAACCCCAACCATTAAATAAGTGGCATCCAGAGGATCTGTGTGGGGCTGCCGAAGCAGGAACCACACGACCAAAGCCAAGCGAAGGCCTCGTATCAACGAATTTGGGGGGAGCTCTATCTCGTCTACACTATATACGTATTAATTAAATCGCACAACGAACAAGCCTGTGTCCACTGACTGCTCTTCCTTGGAAAGGAGCTTGCAGCTCTGCCACCTGCGAAGTTTCTGTGCATTTTCTGGGGTTGCAGACACAATAATTATTACCGATCACAAGGTAGTAATTAGTGGCATTCCTTCGGACCTCTGTGTCAGACTCGCATAGTCCAAGAAGGCTTGCCAGGAGGCCAAAGACACATGGCCATCGTGTATTTGCAATCGACCTCAGATAACCCCTAAGACAAATCAGGACAGCAGCAGCAGCAGCACGACAAAGTTCGCGTGAGCCCCGGAAGTTGCAAACGTAGGGACCCATGCCAAGCGACAGGCCTCGTTCCCCGGGATCAAAGGCAATCGCAAGCTTTCCACAACAGAGGTCCCCAAGATCACATCTAATGTTGTCAAAGCAGTCCCTTGCATCTCCTCTTTGCAGCCACGGCTTTGTAAGACATAGCTTGCCTGCTCCGAAGTTACACATCAGTTGAAGCCGGTGCTGCTTGGACAGCACTGGAATCACAAGTGAGAAGATCATGTAGCCAAGTCACCATGAAGATCGCTCCGGGCACGGTTAGCCCGTCGAAGGGCAATCGGAGGCGAGCCGGGTTCAGTCTGGAGTTCTGGCCCTTGTAGCTCGCTTTGCGGATGCAATGAAAGTTGATAAGATCAACTTTCCAGGCTTCACAGACATCCATCACCAGGCCCTCGTGCCTCAGAACGGAGAACATGGGTGGGGTTGGGATATGGTCCGGCAAGCAAGGTTCGAACTAACTGGACTGTTTATTAGGCAAGATTCTGGGTTTTGGGAAACCATCTATATATATATATATATGTGAAATTATGAATTTGTTTTATTGAGTAGCGTCCTTGTTATTTAGGTAGCTCAGCCTAGGTGTAATTGTTCGGGTTTCTAAATTTCCACGTATAATACCTGAGTTTAAGGCTTAGTTAGGGAAGGGTTGCAGGCGGGGCACAGCTTCGAAAAGAAGTTGTGGAAGTGCTGCTGCCTTTTGGCCAAAGACCACAGCTCTTCTGCCCTGAAGAGCATTCTGTAGCCTTGGATGTCCTCAGTCACCTGTGCGTGTGCTGATTTCTGGAATGAACTGACTTGAATTGAATTATGATCAGACAGATTCATTCACGACTCACCAAAACCAGCTCTCCCTCATTCTATGCCTTGTGTAGCTGTAGAATTCCTTTGACGGCTTTGTCGCAGGACAAAAAGAGGGTCTCGAAGCTGTGGAGTTCTTGCCCAGGACTACAGCTGCTGTCTGAAGCTGCTGCTTCTGCTGCCTGGCCATTGTCATTGCCATCTGCTGCTGCATCAGCAGCGAAGATTCTCGGCCGAAACCAAAGGCCACAGGAGGCCGCTCGGGCCCGGAAGGTCGCCAATGCCTCCTGACAGATGGAACAGTAATTTAATCGAGACAATTGATTCATTGATTGGGGTTCATTGGACTTATGGACCTTATGGATCAGACTAGAGGAAGTGGCGTGAGCCCCGGGCCTCCCAGACTGGAGGACTGACGTCGAGGGTCCCGAGAGGTCTGTTGGTAGTGAAGCAGGCATCCACCCACTCTATCTTTTTTTGGATGTCTTTCCTGAGATCCTCTCTTTCTTGATCCTGTTGAAGCCTTAGATTTTGGCTAATTCAGGAACACCAGAACTCTGTCACGGAGCAAGTGCGTTGTGCCCGAGCGAGCACGTTAACACAACCCCTGCCGGGGCACTGCAGCCGAGAAACCCCTGGAGCTTCTGTATCCTGCCTTCTATCCAGGGAGCGGCTGCCATGGTCGCCTAGGATGCTCGCTCAAGCTTGCATGCTCGTCTAATGGGTTTTTTTCGCCGGGGTTCGCAACCTTGGCGGCAAAAAAATTTGAGGTNNGGCCCGAAATCGAGCGAGCACGTACGATTCCCATGCATTTCTCCACCTAACCACGGTTTCCGATTTCTAACGAAACTGCATTCCACCTCAAATTTTTTTGCGGGCGAGATGCGGTTTGTCGGCGAAAAATTCGCGTCAAACGAGCACGGTGCCGAGTAGCGAGCACGTACGTGTGTGAGCGAGCACGCTGTGTCCGGGGGAGCACGTTCGGTCCCAGCAAGCACGTAGCAGCACGAGCTAGCACCATCGAGACAGGAAAAGCTTGCATAAATGCAAAAGACAAGCACCCTGCCTTCTACTCTCTCTTCCAGCAATCCCGCCCCATCCGGGCCCGGCCGGCCCCCGGCCCCCGGCCCTCGACCCAACCCAATCCCTCTGTCGCTCTGTGCAACCAAGGAGCAGCAGGGCCAGCTGGGCACCAAAGGCGAAACCACGGCAGCAAAAGCGGGTTCAGGAGGGCTCTGTTACTTGATATCAGCGTACTTGATATCAGGGTTCCGGGCAAACTCTGGGGTCGCTACAAAGCAGGCAGCCTTTTAAGGGTGTTTGTGGGGCTTCCGTGTGCAACTTGAACTGACTACTTCGGCTGGGACAAACTTCAGTGCCGGGTTGAGGCTTAGGTTTAGGTTGTGGTCCAGGTTGGGCTTCGGGGTTGGTTTTGTTCATGCCACGAATGGAAACTCGCCGTCTATCTAGAAAACAATGTCGGCGTAGGCTTAGGGCCGGGCTTGGGCTGAGTAGGGAGTTTTAATAATTATATAATATTAATAATTGCTCGGGATTTCAGGGACTGGGGCTTGGCTAGGCATGGGCTTCGGATTATTTAGCGAACCCCATATTTTTAAGAGTGTAGCTTCTAGAACAGCAGCCAGACCTAGCCTAAATATATGTGGCTAAAATGCTATCTTTTAAATACATACTATTAAGGAACTAACCAATCTTCGTCAGTACCTGTTAGTCTAGCTTCAGCACAACCAGAAGCGTCGTCCTTGTGTTCATGCCTCATGTTTCTCTAAGAGCCATGACCTCGCACGGGATGGCAATGGTTTTCATATCTATCACTCACTCACACAACACCACAACTGCACTTCACAATCGATGGTCTTGCTCAGACAGTGGCAACATGTCTGGGCTAAGAGGACAGAACTCCACGGCCGTGTTTTCACAACACCCTGTGGCACTGTGTGCAGCACTGCATGACGAAACACAGTTTCAAAGACGACGTGTCCAGGAACACGAGTCGGCCGATAGCCTAAATCATCCTCGGTGCTTTGGACATCTGCAGCAGTATGCTATTTTACAGCCTCTAGCTCTAGCCTCTCACCCAAAACTGGCTCTGCGTATCGAACCCTGAAGTTCAAGTGCATCCATCACACCGGGAAGCTGCCACGACTCAGGACCCGGGATTCGCGGCTGCTGGGCGTCGCGACGGTGTCGAGGCTACTGCCTGGGAGCTGGAGTCAGCTGCAAGCTTTTGCAGATTGTGCCTAGGACAATGCAATAGTGCAGACTGCGTGCAGGTGCAACTGTAGATGCTGTGGTCACACCAGGCATCTTCCCCGCCCAATCATCAAAGGTCTTTCGGGCCCTGAGAGACATCTTCATGAAGTAGCTCTTGCCAGGCCCAAGATTCTCCGAAAGGGCACCTGCTCCAAAGGGATGGAAACCCACATTAGCAACAGCAGCAACAACAACACCAACAACAACGATTGCACAATTGAAGCACGTAAGAACTCTAAGATGCCACCTTGGATGCCCAGATTGAAGTGCTCGATCCGAGTCAAGGCCTCCTTGTCGAGGCACAGCAGCCAATAGCTGAAATCGGCCCTCAGATGATGTTCAGACTCAGTGTCACTCCAGTGGCTAGGATGGGTTCCGGCCCAGCACACACAGGACAACTCACAAGCAGAGGCAACCGGGGCACTGGGATAGGTCTCCTGGCAGAGACTCCAGCACCGAATGTTCAAAGCCGTCAGCAACAGCTTTGATCTTCGGAGTCACCTTCGCCAGCAAGGCGTCCAGCCCCTCCTTCTCATCAGAGGGCAGCTTGAATCACCCTTAAAGACATCGTCATCGTCATCTTCCTCCGCCTCCGACGGAGACTCGACGTACGGTGCACCAGAGGGGCTCGGCAGCGACTCCTCGGGGCCTTCCTTCTCGAGGTCAGAGGCCTCGGGCTCCGGCTCGGCAGGCTTCTTTGCCTCCTTGGCCGCTTTGCCACGGCCACCCTTTGGCATCCTGGGCTTGTCGACCTGCTTCATCTGCTGCTTCAGATCATCCGAAGCTGCCTGCGTGGCAGACATGGACAAAAGTTATCAAAAGTTGGCAGCAGCAAGAGAACAAGAACAGGAGCACCTCGCGGGCATCCTTGAGGATGTCCTCCAGCGCTTTGCCCCAGGCATCCTTGCCCCCCGGATACTTCCTCAGATGTACTCTGTGCGGTCTAGAAACACTTCACTAGAGTGCATTGACAGACAGAACAATAACAAGTGAAACAGCTTCATAATTTTACTGAGTATCTTCAGCTGTCGCTTGTACAGGCTGCGGAGCACGGCCGAGCAATCCCAAAGGGTCTTGGCGGCACAGAGCCGGATCGACGAAGCCGGGCGGCCGGTGACTGCAGCAAGGCTAGGTAAGCATCGAGTGTAGGAACATGTTTGATTTGAAGCCCTCTGGCTGTTGCTGGGAGGGGCCGGGGAGGACAGTTGTATCGTGGCTTGTCTACAGTCATTAATTACCAAGAAGTCTCGATAATCTGCAGTTCTGTGCCTGGCAGGCACTATGTTCATTGTGTAGTTATAGCCATAGCTCAATCCTGCTTCACAAAATCCATCGCTAATACACCTTTTGCTTAGCGGCTTGGACTCTGAAGGACCTGTCATAGAATTGT